TGAAAACATTTTACAAACATACTGAGAGTTTCAACACTCTGGACCAGAGGTCTTCTTTAGATGGCACATGTCTAACCCTGTGAAAGGAACCTCAAAACCTTTCAAGGGATCGCTGAGCAAAGGTCATGTTAAAGGACTCTCCCTGTACATTCTTGACTTTCACACACATGCTTCCTCCAAACTAAGGGAGCTGAAGAACGAAACACAGCACCCACCACATTTTTCTCACTCTATAAACCAAAAGCACAAACTCTCTCTACAGGGAATGAAGTGGCTTCCTTGGGGCGGCCTGACCTCCCCTGTTCTATGCAGCCATTAAGGGGGATTTAGAGATGGGATGTTTGGGGAATTGTTAGGATGTTCAAAACTGGGGTGTGTGGTAAAGTGAGGTACAGTGGGAGTAATGAGGGCTTTTATTTAACAAATTGGCTACTTCCACCTCCAGATTCCTGCCAGGAAGACACATATCACTCTTGATGGGAGCCCCACCAGCAAAGCAGCAAGGGCTAGAAAGAAACAGTAAATGCTACAAATAGCTTTTCTCATAAGTAATTTTTTCCACTATCTAAAAGATTCATCATAGGGACATTCACTGACTGAACACTACTTTGGAGCAGTTAAAACAAGAACAGTTCAGTGATGCCGACTATTTTAAATGTGACTGTTTTTTTCAGGACTTCCAGAATGTTCACGATGCACTGAATAAAACCGACAGACAAAACTTTTGATGATGTTGTCATGAAATATTTATTCTAAATACAGTCAAATCTCAACTTATTAATCTTTCCTATCACTTATTAACAGATAATAAATTAGATTTTAGCTGCCACACCAGTTTTTAGCAGACTATAAAACATTCTTTAGGAAAAGTCTGATCCTATCTATTTTTTGATTCCCAATTCTACCAAAAGCTAAACACTCTAGTTCAATACATGCACACACCTTTATTGAAAGAGTATCTCTCCTTATCAACATACTTGCTTCCTAAATAACTTACAATTTCAGCTTATGGATGACTGTGACTTGTTACAAGTTAAATAATGAAAAAATATTGAATTACCTTGTTTTTAAAAATTATGTTAAATCTAGATTATTGACTGCTTTGAGTAATCTCTTATAAGAGGTGTTCTGTGATATTTTTAATGATTTTTAGAAGAGTCTTCAAAATTCATGAACACATTTGAATTTTCAAGTCAGACTTTTTCTGACAGAAACGTCCAATTTGGTTATTTGATTTAATGATGAGACAGTTGGTATTTGATTTCATTATATGGTGAATATTTACCATGCATGGAATGATTAAATCTGTAGCTCCAAAGTTTTGATAAATTATATATTTAATGAAATATATATCATGATGAAAATATATTTAGAGCATTAGTTGTATCAACCAATGTATCTGAAAGGGTATTTTGAAAGTAGCAGGCTGGATTTTCCATCTGGATTAAATGATTTTTTTTTAAGTGAAAGAGTAACAGGTACAATTAATAATCATTTCATAGTCTTGGATAAAAAGCCTTGGGGTTTACAAGCCCATAAACCCTGAATTCGAGAATGAACAATTATAAGTAACAAACTCTTCTAAAGGTTAGGCAGTTTCCAGTTCTGTTTTCACACAACAAAAAAATGAACAGTAAACTAATCATGTCAGCTGAAGGATGATTAAAAACAATGGGACTTTAGCACTGAATTTAAAGAATTGAGTAAATCTCTTTCAATAAAGCCACTTCCATTCCCATCCCTTTATTTAAGGGCTGTTTTTTGGCATCTGCTCAGATAGAAGTAAAAGATATAAATAGAATTGACCTTGAACCCTCTTTCATTCTTATCCAAAGGCACAGGAACTAATCAGAAAAATAATGTCATTAAAAGAGGACTTAAAAAAATGTTTCTATTCCACTTAATATCAAAAACTTTAATATACTTACAGTTTGATCAATTATGTAACATAATTTTAATAACTCAATGTAGAAGTTTAGCACAGTCTTAAGGTGACAATAAGTTTAAAGTGTACACATTTTTGTTGCAAAAATCTATAATAGTAATCGATATGACTTTCAGGTATAAAAATATATAGCATATCCTAGGGCAACAAACTCCAAGACCTTGAAAACCTGATCTGATACAATCAGGCCCACCCTGCTGCTCCGCCCTCGTTGCATCATTCCAAGCTGCTCTGAGGAGGACCAGAGGATGTGCCCTGGTGTTAGTGGTGGGCGTTAGAAAGCGCCTGCCTTGTGATCGCTGGGCACTTTCTCAGTTTATTGAGTGGTCAGTTTGTGCGGTATGTTTTACTGCCTTTACTTTTGTCCTTTCTGTGACAATACACGTGAATACGTACATCCTCTTCCCCATTATTGTTGCAATAGTATGACCTTGTATTTTCACAGTTCAACTTGTTGGGTCCCATTGAGGTATTGTATTCTAGTATATTAGGATAAAATCTTGTAGAAAAATTGCAGTAAGAAGATAAGCTCAGGGAGAAAAAGAAAAGATTTAAACATTTAAATATCTTTATGTGTTTTCTACATGGGTGATGGTATTAATTAAATTCCTATGGTATTCGAACTGTATCAGACATATTTGAAAGAACAATGAACACTGTTTCAAAATGCCAATATATTTATACTATGCTGGAAATGATATTCTTTGCCAATATTTAAACTCAGGAACAGCTTTAATTGTGCAAAGAAACACATTTTCTTCTAAAACTATTTTTTAAAAACTATTTGCACAAGGGAGTACTTGTGCAAAAAATAAAAAGAAGTTTGAAAATCACTGCTCTAGAAAAAGGAAAGGTTAAGCAATGACCCTTTTCAAGACAAAAGATACTTGGAGCAATTTTTTTTTCAATCCGCAGTGCCTAGGCTGAACAACTAGGAAAGACAGCTTAACATCTGTTGGCTTTTTCTGGCATCTAGAGGGGAAGCCAAGCATAGACAGGACTAAGCATTCCTGCTACTGTGGGGGAGTCTCTAAAAATGTATTGATGGTGCACAAACAGAGAAGGAAACAGCTCATCTGTCAAACTCTACTCCGGCAGTGACTTCTTCTCTATCAGAAAGCAGTCAAGGCTTAAGCTCTCTGCCCTTTGCAATTTCAGGAAAACATACTGATTTCATGGAACAAATTTTACCATCACTAATAAATTTTAACTAAGCGTCCCTTCTGTGTTAGGTTCCGGAGATACAACATGTGAGAACCTGCACTGGAGGAATTTATAGTCTCATTGGAGAACTGGAGAGACACTGAGATAAATACAAGTCTGCAGAGCACATGCAAAGGGTCCAATGAGTATAAAACAAATGGAGTTACTGCCAAAGGTCAGGGTCGTCTGGGAAGGTGAAGGCTGGAGTGGAGGTAGGTCTTTAAAAACCCTGAGACAATAAGAGTGATGGGCTAATTTGCTGGGGACGAGAAGTAGGACAGTGTAGGTGTGATGCAGGTGTGGCTGTGGCAGGAATAGTGATGAGTCCTGAGCAGGCGGCTGCTACAAAACTTGGAAGGCAACCGGAAACCAGACTGTAGAGGGTCTTAAACGCCGAGAGCTGTGCTTCATCCTGCGAGAAATGTGAAGGTTTCTGAGACCAATATGCAGCATTTTAGGAAGATATTTTATGACAGTCACACATTGGAAGAAATAGCAAGAGTCCGCTAGCATTTTAGCAATACTTTGGGTAGCTAGGGTGGAAACAGCCTGTTGCAAGGATACTGTGAATGAGAAACAATCCAAGGACATTGTGCTAAAAGGGGAGGGTGAGCCACAGGTAATTCCCAGGTTTCAAGGTCATTGTGTGTGACTGTAATCATAGTCCCACCGACAACAAATTCAAAGGCAAAGCAGGTTAACGTTTGAAGGAGCAGGGTCAGCAAGTGGGAATGGGCACATGAAGGGGAAGGTCCAATCTTCAAGTCACCGGCCATCACCAACTCTACAGAAAATCATGTTTTCTCCTATCTTGTTCTCTTACTCAATACAGGAAGAATTAGTATTCTAAACTTGTCATTGATCATACTACACCCACAATGATTTATCAACGTTTTGTGTGGCTCAGTGGATTGGGTGCTGGCCTGCAAACCAAAGGGTTTTATCACAGTGATTCATCAGTATTCACCCAGAATAAATATGAAGAGATTTTCCTTGGGAATGATCAAGTACAAGTGCAAAAGCAGATCTAGCTAAGGCCTCAGGCTCATCAGCTTTTTTCTCCCTCAACTCTTGCTGCACAATCCTTAAAAACAATGACCTCCACCCCTCAGCCTCTCATTGGCCAAGTCCTCTGACCTCTGTCTCGTTGCAGACTCATTATAGTCCTCACCTCCAGCTCCCTGGGGAAAATTCACAACATAAACCCTTATCCTTTCCACTGACCCCTATCCCCAAGAAGCCTTGCAAGCCTGTTACCTTCAAAGTTAACAGTATTTGCACATTCGTTCCACCCAAAGAATGAAACCAAATTATTTCCTGATATGCAACATTTAGTACAGACGTTGAAAATGCCTCAAGTGCAGCAGGTGGGTGTTCAGACTTTGTAGGACAACCAATCTGTCCCTAGAATTCAAATGAGCTGAAGTCTACGGGGGAGGTGGCATAGCAAAGAGGAAAAGTGCTAATGCTGAAGTCAGACTCAGTTTGAAACTCCCACTGCATAAACTTTGGCAAATGCACCTCTCTATACCTCATTTTTTTCCATCTGTAAAATGGAGATGACAATCCTACAGGTTTCAAAGTTAGGTGCAATTCCACGGTGGCTTAGCATCCTTACTACAGTTGATTTCTTGTGTACTGATGGACATTTATATTGCTCTAGGTCCAGGTGGCTGGGGTAGGCCAACCTCTCCTGCAAAGGGTCAGACAGCGGTGTCTTTGGCTTTGCTGGCCAGATGGTCTCTGTTGCAATTACTCAACTCTGCTGATGTAGTGCAAAAGCAGGCAGCAAGAACATGCAAACAGGCGAGCAACTGTTCCAATAAAAGTTTATTTATAAAAATCACAAAAACAAATTTAACTTCACATTAAAGTACAGCTTTCCCCTGCCATCCTTTAGCACAGCACTCCTGTGACCTGCTGTAAACTGAAATGGCATACAGCAAAGGGTATACCCACTCTCCAAAAATTCCCATTACGCCACTTTACTTTTACAAAAGACCTGCTTTAGTATGCTAATGGCTTTTTTCGTAAAAGTCAAAATTTTTGGATTTTTACAGTCAGTGAAAACAGGTACCAATGCAGGTCTTCTTTGAAAGCAAAGTAGCATAATGTGGGTTTTCAGAAAGCCAAGGATACCTACATTATTATCTCTTAATGTTTTTACCATTCAAAATGTAAAACCATTCTTAGTTCGTAGGCCATACAAAAACAGTAAGTGGGCCCGATTCAGCCCATGGGAGGTAGTTTGCCAGCGCTTGCTCTGGATTAACAAATTCATGGGCTTTGGAAACTTCATGAGGGCAAGGGATCTGAAATACAGGTTTATGATGCCGAAGAAGAAAGAGGAAACTTCCAAGTGTAACTTTTAAAAAGGATATTTAAGGCCGTCATTCATTTATTGGCACTGAACTCAGTGCAAGGCATTTTTTGGAATCACACACTGTTGGAATCAAAGATGCAAGAGTCCCAGTCCTGGCTCTCACAGAATCTGCACTGTCCACAGGAGCTTAGACAGCGAAAGCCTTCCTTCGAAATACAGCCTTTCCAAGCGGGCTTTTGCAGGGCAGGGGCATGCTCGTGCAAGAGGCAGGCAGTGGTTCTGGCAACCCCGCCTACAGCCTACACCAAACAAACGGTGGGTTATCTGGACCTCCCTGCTTTCTCCCGTCCTCAATTTTACTACCAGCTCTTTTCCTGTCTTCCGAGTTACTCTATTTTGCATGATCACTGGGGATAACTGTCATGACGATATACTAAACAGAACATGGCAGCCAACCCCACATTGAAAAAATAACCATAAACTGGCCTTCAACAATGCAAGATCCCTTCTAATAGATGACATGTTATAGTGACTCCTATGGTTTTTCATTTCAGTCCAGGTGGAAACTTGTCCTTATGAGGCTGATTAAGCAGGTCTATTTTTAAGCAAAAAAAAAAAAAAAAAAAGACACTTCGGAAAAAGATTTTTTCATAGCAAATGTTGTGAAGTATTTTATCCAAAAAGAACACAAAACAAAATAGACAAAATACAGTGCTCTGGTATACACCTCAGTTGGTCCTGAGATTGTGGATCGGAAATAGCACTAGAGAAACCTGGCATGTCAATTTATCAGAACAAGTGAAAAGTAGAAAGCAAAAAATGAACACAGCTAATGGCTAAAAATACAAAAGGCATTTTTGGTAAATAATAAATAATACACATGAACATCATTACAGTATGTAGTATAATATTAATACGAAATAAAAACTGGCAAGAACTATTAATCTTGTTGGTTTCCTGGAGTACTAAAAGGCATTTATCCTTTCAGCACTGTCCTTGCAAGAATCAGCATTGCTGAAGACCTTAAAGACAATGGGACACAGTAAAAACCAGAAGGTAGAAAGCAGAATTCCTGAGGTTTAATGTCCTCTCCTGAGAACAGGCATGACTAAACAGTCTCAGCGAAATCCAGGACGAAGTCCATTTGCTGGGAGGTGCACCAGACCCAGGGGAGGACAGAGTCCACAGAGCAGTGGAAAATGAGTTCAGAGGAGAGGGAGGTCAGCAAGATGAAGGGCTAGGAGGTGCCAATGCTCACTTCCCCTACAAGAACAACAAAGACAACACAGACACAACTATAAACCAACAAAAGTAGAGATGCTTTCCTAAAACAGGCAAAGCTCTGGAGGACAATGAAGTGTCGAGCGTCCTGCGGGCACATGGGTAGCATTCTGGCGACATCGCCGCATCGATGAGGCCAGAGCAGCATGGCACCAGGAGGGGTCCCCTCAGAGAAATCTGCCCCGTGGGGAGTGGGTGGGCAGAAGCCCAGCACATCTTACTGTGGCCTTCACTACAAAAGGGCAGGGTAAGGTAGTGTTTCTTTGCCATTCTCGGGTTCTCCTCTTGCAGTTTCAGCTGTGGATGAGCCACTCTGGAAGCTGGTGAGAGATAATTATAGTTTTGCTGTGGCGTGAGCTTGAATTTTGCCTAAAGAAAAAATCCCCTAAGGAGTACGCCAAGTGGCCCTGCTGGCACCTCGGTCTCCACAGTGATTTGCTCTCCTCCACGCCTCTGCCCTGGCACAGTAAGGATTTGAAGGAAATTCTTTTACACTCTGAGGAATACCACAGGCATATTATATGCTGATATTTGGGATTCACAAAAATCCCAGCATACAGTCACTGTAAAAACCTGAAGTTTTCTGTACAAACCTGAAACACCTAGATGTTTCGCTCTACTCCCTACCAGTCTGTCTAAGGACATCATACACCGCCCCCCACTCCAGTGCCTTCTGTTACCCACTTCTCCTTCATTATGCTGACTCTCCAGCTACTGCCCAAGGGCAGAAATTTGTTCTTTCAAGTGAGGAGCCTACAGCACTGTATATTCTCATATCCAGAAAAATAACTACTTTTCCTCTATGTACCAGGGTTGAAAAACCTCCATAAAATTCATTTGATAACACATACATTATTAAAATAAAGTAGCATCACAATTATGATTAGAAGTAAAAGAAAAGAAGCAAACAGTGTCAATAAAATTGTTCCATGGAAAAGGACCAATGTCAGTGAAATTGTTCATAAAAACTACAGGGGAAAATTCAATTCTGAAAATATGTGTTTTCAGCTTCTAAATAAGGAATTTTACTTTCTAAACTCTGTGAACACATTTTTGTTTTTTATAGCCAGTTAAGAATTAACTAGTCAACAATCTATTGGCCAGTCACTATGTAATAAAAACATAAGATCGGGTAGAAAGCATTATTTGACTTTTATTAACCTCACAATGTTCAATACAAATGCAAAATTCAGTAGTGATCTTCAATTTTAAGTCTATTTCAAAGCATGGTCTCTTAGATTTAAGAATCAGGGCAGAAATATGTGACAAGGAGGAAGGGAATCAAAAAGCTGGCACCCAAACCTCACTGATTTACCTGTATTATTATAAAATCTGAGGTACAGCCCTTACATTCCTTTAAATGGTGTTGTCTTTGGATTTTCCATGATAATGTCAATACTGAATTTTTAACCAGGCCCTATAATCTTCACAAGTCTTCCAATTATGAATCGAAAAGAAACAGACAGATATATGTGCCAAGTACTTCATGAAACTTAACATACTGCTGGATTTAACATATAAACTTCAAAAATCAATCGGCCTATAATATTCTTAAAACCCAAAGGCAAGATAAGGTCTGCTTTCCCATCTTTTCTGCATTTAAGAAATAATTTCATCTAATGATATTAATGTAGAAATACATTATACATTCTAACATCAATAAGAAATGACATTCGAAAGGAGAGTCAATAGACCTTTGCATTTAAAACCAAAGGAACACATCTTGGCCACCTTAATTTATAAAACCAAGTTCTAAGCAGAAACGATTACTGTGTAACAAATACTGCTCATATAAAAGTGCTGGTGACAATTCAATACGCCTTCTCCATAGACTCTGTCTAGAGCTGTAATAAGATTTTCTGTTTAAGGTGCTTCAATTTTGCACTGAATTAAGTATTCATCTGCTACCTCTTTGTATCAATTCCAGTCAATGATCCAGAGGCAAAAAGGCAAACCCACTGTTATTTTCTAGAATGCGGCATTTGTGGAGGGGGAGCGCCCTCTATTGGCAATGAGGAGGACACGCTCATCAGCTGTCCGGCGTGCATCTTCTCATTGACTCGGAGCTCACAGCCGTCCTGCAGCATTCGGACTGCTATGCGGGCAATGTTCCTGGAGTCATCGAGACCACTGTGAGGCCGCCCGTCGTAATCCATCCCTAGCTTTTCAAGCATTATTGTCAGTTTGGTTTGGCTTCTAGGGACCTGAAAATAAATAAACAGTAAACAATTCTTAAGTATTCTACAAGTCACCGTGAAGTAGAAAAATAAGAAATGGAAAATTAACAGTAATAACTAAATAAACTTAGGCAAAGGGCAAATATTTCTGGTTCATTAAAGCAAATAAGTAACTCAAACCCCCAGGGCTTTAGTGTTTTTAGAAGTCCAATGGGCTATATCCATTGAGAGACGGAGCCACCTGGCTTTAGTGTTTTTAATGAAAATATGTATCAACAGATGGAATCCTCAAGACAGCTAAAAAGTTTGGAGTCTTGTAACTTAACAAATCATTTATAAAAGGTAATGTGTTGTTGTTCTAAACTGAAGCTCTACCATTTAATGCAAACTCGCTCTTTTTTGCACGCTATTTTTCTGTAATGTGTTATTTTCCTTGACTGACTCCTCAGGCAGAGCACCAAAAATATTTTGCATTTCTAGACGATGAACAATAATGATCAAGAATATAAGACAATGTCATGTGGCATTTTTCAACCTATTTAAATACCAGCTCCATTTTGATAAATATAAAAATATTACACAGTCCCCAGATTTCACTTCTAAGAACCACTATTCTATCTTCAGTATATCCTTACTAAAAAGAAGATTTCTTAAGTTTTACATTCTGGTCCTCGCTGGTGTGGCTCAGTGGATTGAGCATCAGCCTGAGAACCAAGATGTCACTAGTTTGATTCCCGCTTAGAGCACATGCCTGGGTTTTGAGCCAGGTCCCCAGAAGGGGGCGTGCCGGAGGCAACCAGTCAATGCTTCTCTCACACATGGATGTTCTCCTCCTTCCCTTGCCCTCTAAAAATAAATAAATAAAATCTTTTTTTTAAGTTCTACATTCTGCAGTTTATATAGCTAAATCATCCATATATCTTAGAGTTCAGCTTCTCCGTCTGTACAGTTGTACTATTGTTTACTCATGGGGTTACGAGGAGAATCACAAAACAAATGATACAAAAGAATATGCTCCATGAAAAACCTTTTCCAGCAGCAACTGAGACCTCGCTCTCCGGTCTTGTCATCGGTTTGCCTCAAATAAACTCATAAAAATTGAAACAATAAATAAATAAAAATAACTTTTCCAACACATTAAAGAGCTTAAGTGAAAGAGACTATTTCACTTACGAAACAGAAACACACGGCCTACCAAAACTGAACTATGAAGATAAAATCTAAGTAGACCTACAGTAAGTGAGGAAGACTGAATCAGTAATCAAAAACATCCTACAGAGAAAAGTCCAGCACCAGTTGGATTCACTGGTAAATTCTACATTTAAAGAAGAGTTAACATCAATTCTTCTCAAACTCTTGTAAAAACTGAATAGGAGGGAAGACTTCCCAAGCCAGTATGTGGCTAATTATATTATGTTAAAAAAAGACAAAACCTATCTATATAAGGATAAACATATAAATATTAAAGCTATATAAAAAAGCAAGACAGATTCCCATTAAAAAGGAGCTCTGGGAGGGGGGAGAGAAGGTTGAGTGAGTAGAAATTACAAGGAATTTTTCACTTTAAAATGATCTTGTCAAACTCCACTTTTCTGTATTCATAGTTCTCAACAGTTTTAAGAAATGTTAAAACCACGCACAAAGAAAATTATAATAAAAAAACTTCTCTAATGAAGTTAATTTCGGATATGCTTCACCAAAATTTAGTAAAGGAAAAAAGACGACACTGATCTGACAGACGATAGGGAAGAAGAGGAAACCTCCCAGATGATTTTAGGAGCCTCAACAGCAAACAGTTCGGATCACAGTGGGATTCGAGACTCCACGTATTCCCCCGAGGAAAAAAAATGAAACTGACAGACTACCTGAACATTCTGAGTGCAGACAGAGCCAAGATATACAGTTTGAATGGAAAGGAACAGGATAAGGAAACTAAAGAAGTCAGTTACTGAATCTGAGGAAAGGCTGTGAGCACTATCATGTAGGAATGTACACACTGAGCAATGATTTAATTAGAGGTAATGTGACTACATGAGAAAGATGCAGGGAGGAGAAGGACCTGCAGGAATGGTGGCTTTTCAATGAGCTAAACTTCCTCTTCCATTGCAGGAGCTTATGAGCGACCTCAAACTGAAATTCAAGACAGCATAAACATCTAATTTAGAAATATGGCCCTGGCTGGTGTAGCTCAGTGGATTGATCATGGGCCTGTGAACCAAACAATCGCGGTCCGATTCCCAGTCAGGGCACACGCCTGGTTTGCAGGCCAGTTCCCAGCAGAAGAACCACACATTGATATTTCTGTCCCTCTCTCTAAAAAAATGAATAAATAAAATCTTAAAAAAACAAAAAAAGGTCTTTAAAAAAAAAGAAAGAAATATGAAGGTAAGTATTAGAATAGCCTTAAAAAGTTGAAAGTGTTTTCTTCAGAGCACAGACCAGAACGATCAGGGCCATGGGGAAGACTGCCGATTAGTATAAGCTTTGCAGCATTATTTTTAAAATTTATGCTGCACACATACTAAGTCTGATAAAATTCAGTGGAGATTAATTGTCCCACAAACAATCCACAAACTGAATAGCCTTGCAGTTTCAAACACATTATTGAAGATCATGTTAAACCACTTAAGAAACAGGTTAAATGAGAAAAACAGCTTATCTTTCTCCACTCAGATGAACTAATTTGGAATCTGAGAAGTAACAATTATATGGCCTTTTTCTGTGAAAAGCACATAGTAAATCACAACTTAATGTGTAAACAAACTATAATAAATGTGTCAAGAGCATATGAGAGTATAATCAATAAAATGCAAAAATTTTACCTTGTAAAAGTTTCCATATGACTTTCGGATATTGATCCACTTTTTAGCAAAAGGCGGGTATTTGAGCCCACTGAGCTGGCACTGAGTGTTCAGGAACTTACTCATATCCCATGAACTTAGAAATCAGAAACAACAAAAAAGATAAACTCGATGCCATTCTATTCTTACAAATAAGTATTTTAAGCCATTCTGTTTCTTATTTACACATGTTCCCTTTTAAAATCTTTCTCCAAAATACAGATCCAAACATAAACTTTAACAAAAAATAAGAAGTTGGGTATATTAAATTTTTTTTCACAAACTAATTCTTACAAGGCCCATCTCAATTATTTTCATGGTTCTCATTAACTGGGCAAACCTACATCTTGTTGATTATTTTTGCATAATTCTAAAATAAGTTTTGCTTTAATGCCAAGTTTATCATATCAGCAAGTTCTTTGAGGGTGTATTTTGAAATAAAACAATAAAACATAAGTTAACAAAATATGTGAAGGAGACAAATGGAACTTGTATCAAGTAGTTAGAGCACAATCTGTTTTGCTGCAGTGTGCTTCTGTAACACCAATCAACCTATGTCATTCAATAGGAGAATATGGAGTGTACAAAGCGGAAATTGTGTCAGTTCTGCACATGGGCTTTCCTAGCCAAAGGGAATCAGAATAGTAGCAGTCAAACTTATAACCTTTGGCAGGAAAGAAAGATTTCTTTCTGGGGTCCCATTGCCAGGACAGTAGCTGATCTGAGAGTAAACTTCAACTGTACTTTAAGACAATTACAAGCCAGTGCCTGTCCCCAGGACCCCATTGCTTCCATGCGTCTGTAACATCCTCTGCGATGACTTTCACCTGCCCTGAGATGCTTGCCTGGGCTGCTCCAAGTGTGTCTGGAGGCATCAATTACTGATTTTGTTAGTGCTCCAGTTACAAAATGGCACCGGCTTTGAATGGTCTGCCCCAGAATGTGAGATTTTTACAGAATCACACATAATGTGTTACGCCGGGAACACCTATGTACTTTGGCAGGAACACTGCTCACGTGTGTTTGAAATCCGTTTTTAAACACAATTACAAAGTGATTAAATTCATTGCTCTTTCCCCGCTGTATGTGAGGGTCTCTAAACCCTTCATGTCTATGACATCATAGGTGCAGTGTACAAACTTCCACAGTATGAAACAGAAATTGACTATTAGGACTTTCTTCCTGAACCTTAATAGCTTTATGGGAGAGAAGCCACCTTGGCACAATGTTTGTTTTGATGTTTCTTATCTTCCCCCTTAATCTTTCATTTCACAAATGCTTTTTGAGCATCTATTTTGAGCTCAGCACTATAGTAAGCATTATACAAAAGACTACCAAGTAGCAAAAGTCCTTGCTCTAAAAGGGTTTTTAATCTCCTTGCAAACATGTTTTAACATACTTAAAGTTTAGACATCCAAATATTTAGTGGGATGCCAACACGAATGACACGCATCTGAGAGGCTACCACAGGACGTCAAGAAAAAATAAATCAACGTGAAACGTAACGTCCGAAGTAAAGCATGAGATGGGCTTTGCTGAATAACAAAGAAGTGGTCAGGGAAGAGAACGGCCCCGTGGAAAGGACAGCACGAGGAAGAACATGAAGGACACGCCGTGGGACGCACGGGCCAGCCTGGCTGGAGGGGAAAAGAGCGACGGCCGGTGGCTCAGGCTCCACACGCAGGGCAGGACTAGACGAGAGAACCTCGAAAGCCAAGACTCAACAGTTTGCCTTTGCTGAGAACGTAAGTGTCCTGATGAAAACAGTTTTCACTTTACATATTAATATTTATCTTTCTCTAGTATTCTAGTCCTGGATTAGACTATTATCCTTGTTTGCTTTCTTCTCTTTGATCCCTACAATTCAAATTTAACTAAGAACAAGAATACAAAAGGAAAAATATTGTCTCCATTAGTAAATAATTTTTTGTGGTTATTATGTAAATAAGGACATCTCTAATCTTAACAAGTAGACAAAAAGATAATAATTTTCCTACTTACCCATCTGTTAATATGCAATACTTATACTTTGTTCCTAATTCCTTCAATTTCATCCAGTCAATTACTTTTTTCAGTACCTGAGGGAAGGTATCAGCTCTGTCTACCTGATCCTGGGGATATAAAAGGAAAACATATAAAAATCAGAGTAGCTGCATGTAGTCCTAAAAAACACCCAGACACAAATATTAGCAGGAAACGAACAGAAAAAGAAAGTTTTATCTATGACATTTTAAATTCTTCATGGTTTCCTTTGCCGAGAAACACCAAAAATTCATTTTTAAGACAAAAAACTGTTTATAGCCAAGTATTGAGGATTACTTTCAAGTGAAGCACATAATACTCCCAAAGTCGAGATTTAAGATCAGCCTCAACCCAGCAGCTTACCGACTGTCTGGAGTGGGGAACAAAGAATCCCCTCTCGCGGGAGCCACAGCCCTCTACAGTAACCTCTACTTCAAGGCTCACATCTTTCCACCACATACTACATACCACCGCCAAACTGGTCTTCTTACAATGTGAATCTTACCCAAACTTAACTCCTTCCAAACACGTACCAAGGTTTTCAGTGTAAAAACACACAAGGTGTTTCATGATCTGGTTCACCTGGGCCTACCACTTTAGCTTTATTTATGACCATGGACCTTGAACCATCCTGAACTACTTACAGTTCTGCCATCCACACTTGAAATGCCCAGTTATTCTTTTCTGCCTATTGACCTATCATGACTCAGCCCAAGTTCACCAACGTTGAGAAGCTTGTCCCAGGACATCCGTCATAGGAAGCCCTTTTTTCAGATGCCTGCAAAATCCTGATGAAACACTGACTTCTCAGCCTTCCTCACCATATTGCAATCACTGGTTCATTCTGTGTCCTCCTGAGTAATGTACTGTTAACCAAATTGGAGAGACTGGCTTGACCATCTTTGTATCCCTAGTACCTTGGCAAGTATAGCAGGCACTCAAGTACCTGCTGAGTGAGTGAGTGAGTGAGTGAGTGAATGAATGAAGGAAGGAACTAAACAGATGAACAAAGGGCCTGCCACATTAGAGCGCAACAAAAAATCAGAGACGTAAAAAATTAAACTTTACTGCATATAAAGTCAGGTTGAATGCAGATAGATTCTAAAACTTTAGCTCTGAGTTCAGCACAATGACATTTATTTTACTAACATTCCAAGCATATGAAACTTCAGAGTCATCACTACGACTCTTTAAGAGGAAAAGCTGACAAAAATTTTACCAGATGTAAAATTTCTTTTTCTAATTTCTTAAACATTACACTATGAAAGATCTTTACAAAGCAACAGAGTATCATATTAACTTAAATTGTTTACAACACTAATGTGTTAAAACTACGAAATAAATCACTAATTTCAAAACTTCTTTCAAACTCCTGAAAAAAGAACATAAGATTATAACCTGAGTAATTCCAGTTAGATTGATGCAGAAATCAGAAAGCTGTGTGTGAATCTCGGGTCTCACATACTGCTGGAACGTGTCTTCCTACAAGGCAAGAACAGCCAGTCAATCCATGTTTGATGCATGAGGTTGGTGACACACGATACATGACAACTTCAGTCACACGACAGTGTGATTTCATAGGTGCGTGTGGCACAGAATTGTGCAGCTTTACCAGTTTAAGGATAACTCCCCACGCCCAAAGCACTCTGATTTTTCCCCTTATAATCCATTTTAATTAAGAGAGTGCCTTGATAAATTCTCCAGAAGCACTCTGATTTTTTTAATTAAAAAATTATGTTTCGGAGTTTAAAACATTTTATGAGAAATCAAGTGTCTGCAAGCAAGGTGGCAGAGTTTAAACAAACATTTTCCTGAGGAGCAAAATGTTAAAAAAATTTTGTTCATAATGTTTTGAAACTGTAAAGCTTATTAAACGCAACCTCTACCTTCAAGATACTAAAAGCTTTTCAAATAATAATAAATTATTTTAAATACCAGTCTTTAGTTATAACAAATTAGCTCCAGATTACTGCTTGCATTTACTCCTGAATAGTCATTATTATATTAAAGATTCCATTGTAATTGAATTCTAAATAGTCAAAATTTGACTCTATGATATCTAGTAGTTTAAAGGGTGATAATGTTTATTTATTTACTTTTTCTGCAATTTTTAACCTCTTCAAGAATCCTTCTTGCTTGCCTTATTTTATGCTCACATCGTCTCTGTGAACTCAGTAAGGCCAGTATTGTTACCAGATCACACTCAGTCACTTGTTAAAAATTAAGGACAATTTCAAAGCCCAAAGATTTATAGGCAGAAACTGTTAATACTAGGCAGATAGGGAGAAAAAGACAAAGAATATTCTTTGTGGTAGATTTAAACATTAAATTTTTTAATTTAAAAAAAGTAAAATTCCTAAGAATAATTTTCTTATACCTTAGTGTATTAGGTAGATGAATTATAAATATTCACTAACAAGTGTAAAAAAACAAACGTAAAGGAGAGCAAAGAACATTTGCACTTTGTAACTCTGATGCTCTTGCCGTGGCCAGGTGGCTCTGTGGGTTGCAGCATCATCCCAGACACCAAAAGGTTGTGGGTTCGATCCCTACCCGGGTTGTTCACAGGAGACAACCAATCGATATTTCTCACATCAATGTGTCTCTCCCCGCTCCCACCGCAAAATCAATAAACATACCCTTGAGTGAGAATAAAAAAATTTTTTTAACCTAGATGCTCTTTACTTACAAGACATACTACAAAAGAAAAAAATTCTACTTAATTAAATTTTATAAATAAATGAAGTCTATCTTTTTCTAAGTATCAATATTTTGCTTTATAATTTTAAATGAAAATCTTTCAAAAATATTCTGCAACTTCACTTATCATTACAAGAGGGTGATACTAAGTGTTAACACCAATAAAACTTTACTATTTAATGCTTTTAACAGAATGATGCTACAGAGAAGTATGCATTCATTGACCAAATGTTTAATTAACATTTCAGTAACTTGCATAGTTAGTTAAAATGTGAGGAGGGTTATTAGAAAACAGAGCAGGTAAGAGCGATCAGAAACACTGGGCGTGTGGGAGTGTTTGAGCTACACTATTAAATAGGTAACCCGGTCAGGCTTTATTTAGAAGGTTAGAGTTAAGGAAGGACGGGGATGGAGGGAATTAGCAGCAAACTCTCTGGGGAAAAGGAATCAGATAAAAGCCTAAGAGGTGAAGGGGATGGAGCACGTATGGCATTTTTTGCGAAACAGCAAGCATGTCAGTAAGATACAATCAGAGGTAGCAAGAAGACAGATCATGTAAGACCTAGGACTTTTACTCTGCGTTACTGATGGGTTGTGAGCAGAGAAATAAAGTGATCTGACCTATATTTTACAAGAATCATTCTGGACACTGTGTTGAGAACTGGCTGTGGGGGTCAGGGATAGAAACCCAGAAACCGGTTAGCTGGTAAATACAGTAAATCCAACAAGAAGTGACTGGGGCTCCGTTCTGGATATATTTTGAAGGCAAACAGGGGTCACTGTCAGGCTGAATGTGTAATGTGAGAGAAACAGAGGTATCGAGGATGACACCAAGGTTCTGGACACAGCAATTAGACAGAGTGGCCATCACTCAAGCTGGGGCAGGCTGAAGATAAAATCGGTAATCTGGGGTGAATTCAATTGGAAACTTGTTAAGGTGTCTGTTGAGATGTCTAAGATGTTAAGTAAGGAGTCTGGATTTGGACAGAGGTCCAGATTGGACATTTATATTTGGAAGTCATCAGAATGTAAGTTCTAAAGCTAAGGAATGAGATGACAGAGGAGATCATTAAAGAAGAGGACCTGGGCACCTGATATTAGGAAGTGGGAAGAAAATAAGGAACCTGAAAGGAAAACTGCAAAAGGTAATTAACTAGTGAGGCCGGAGAAAAATCAAGAGAATTGAGGTGTCCCTGCAGTCAGTTACTTCAAGAAAGTGTTTCAAGGAGAGAGTGGTCAATTTTGCAGGATTTGGGTAAAGGGCAAAGATGACAATGATGACTGATTTCAGTGGAGTGAGTGATGGAAATGAATACATTACTCAAACCTGAGATGGTGTGGATTTAAGAGAGAATGGGAGGAAATGGTCAGAAGTATGTACAACTTTGTCAAAGAAATTTGCCATAGAGAAACAAAGAACCAGGGCAGCTGGCGGGGAAATGGGATCACATGAAGGCTTTTTACAGTGTGAAAAATGACAACATGCTCGCATGTGACGGGAACAATATAGGGGACAGCAATAAATCATTAATGTCTAAGTGAGGGAGGAGAATTGCCAGAGCAATGTCCTTGAGTAAGAGAGAAAGTAGAATGCAGTGAGATATGCAAGATTATCTGCCTTCATAGCTTGTTTTTCCTTTCATTTACCTTTAATATGCTTTGGACATGGAAATTAAATAAATAGGCTGATTAAAAATATAACTAAAAGAGGCTCTAAAGAACACAAAAAAACCATATAAATGTTAATGCATAAAGCCTCTTTATATTTACTCCCAAATTATTGGGAGTAACTTTGGACAATGAGATGTTATGATATATCCTCACTCAGATTTTACAAGGCAAGGAATATTGTGTTGGAGGATTGCTGGTGACTTCCTGAATGAGTAGCACTGACAACTAGTCTCTCAAGCATATATATTACACGGCCAGTTTTAAGTTGAAAGGTGATTTTTCAGAGATCAGAGCACACTATAGCAGTAGTTCTCAACCCTGATTGCCTATCAACTGAGCTTTTAAAAAGTGCTGATGTCGGGATTCCAGAACAGAACAGCTCAACCAGAATCTCTGGGATGAGCATCAGGCATCAGTATCTTTTCTCCCCGCCCATGACCCAGGAGATTCTGATGTCCAGCCAGATATGTGTTCTAAGCAAACAGAAAAAAACACTGTAATTTTAGCTATTGGAAAAGGAGAAATGCAGACTGTGAAATTATTTTACTATAGCTTTTCTATTAATCAAGCTGATACCACATACACAGCAAGAGCAAAAAGCCCACTTCAGAATCCTAACTCTATCTGAAACGGCAGCTGAGACCCTCTGCCTTACCACCCAACCCCAGGACAGTTGCTGCTAAGAACAAAATTAAAATAGAACAATTCACTTACTATTTCTAAGGTATGAGTATTCAGTAAAACAACAGGAAATTCAATTATTTCATGTAAGAACTCGGGTGGGTTACCCTCTTCACAAGTGGCTTCAAAGTCAATAATACAAATGTAGTCATAGTAACTGCCAGCACAATTGTCCTCTTTCAACATCAGCTTCTGCTTCTTATAATAGTTTTTCAGCCTCTTCTTTAGTACATCCTTTACTCCTCTAAGGAAAATAATAAAATCAACTCTTAGGTGAATTTCACAGTCAGGAATCTGAACTCTTACCTGCTGTCACTGGCAGTCAGAGCGTAACTTAGCAAATGTGAGCTAAAAATGAATGTAAAGGAAACAAGACTCAAAGCTTACTTAGCAAAGAAGTAGTTAAAATACTAGGTTTCATACAGAATTATTGTTTTCCTTCACAAGTAACTTTTTATTTTTGTAGTAAAAGCACTGTCTTCAACATACACCATACACCACCTACGCAGCTGATCACCTTAAGGATTAAGACATACATGACGCAAAACCTGAAATTAATGTTGAATCGCTCTATTGCCACGTGTGAAAAGTCAGGTAAATTAAACACACTGTGCTATCCCTTCCCTTTTTTTGGCTTTTGCAGGTTAGACAACTAAAAAAGTCCAGATGAACAGGAAAATATACGAGCCTAGGAAATAAAGCTGAATGTCTGTTAGCTATTTAACTAGGAAAACTAATTTATAACATACCCCAGAATGATCTGTGTCCAGAAAAATGTTGTGACACTCAGTAACTTCCTAGTTAGATGCTGCTTTCTTCATTTACCGTGGGTAGAATATGACTGGGGAGAGTTCAGTATTATAGGGATTGTTAAAACACATGTCCCACAAACGGGGTGGGGAGGGGAATGGTTGTCCTAAATGGGTAACAGTGGCTGGTAAAGGTGGTCATGTTCTTCAAACAGCATGTATTTCTCCAAAAAAAAAAACTGAGAGCCACAACCAGCACTCAGACTTCCTTCAGGACTTACTTGGTTGAGCTGCACAACGCCTTGCAAATACAAACAGTAGTAACAGTCACGTCTTATGAACATGTGGTGACAAGTAAGGCACTTTGGTCACAGCACTGAGTAGTGGCTACTAAAAAATATTTTTAAGCCTTTGTTTTCCTTTCTAAACTACCACTGAAAGGGAATCCTGTCCATGAAAACAATGATGATTAACTAGTAGTTATTTTAAGATAAAATGTTTAATATATTTTTATTTGCTTGAGATTTTCCACGTTACCCAAACCCAGCAAGACAGCCCCTCACCTCCTTTCACATTAAGGTGTTGTGAGTGTCCCCCGTCTTGGTCACGTAACAGCTCTGAATTACTTTGTCTTAATTACCTTTTTTTTTTTTGGAGAAACCCTATTTTACTAAAAAGGTTACTTGTAACCCTAATGGCAACACAATGTATAACTGGCTGCTCCTGAAACTTGCATCTTTTACATCTCCCCTGCCCGTCCACAATCAAACCATCACCATTTCTGCCAATTCCAACTCAGAAACATTCAAACTGTAGGTGTCCTCAATTCTCTCTGGTACGGTTCCCAGTAGCTTCCTCGACTATGGCAGGCGTTGCCACCGTCACAATCTTCCTATTCACTTTTTATGTTACTGAGAACTGAGCACTAGTGCCAATTTCCTGCTGAAAATACCTTCAGGGGCTCCCTTCTGCTTACAAAGTAAAACAGAAGACTTTAGCATAGAGTTCTTTCACCACATGACCTAGGATTTCAGTATAATCTTCAGAAGCTCCCACTCCCCATGGTACATCACATACTATAGACAAAACATGCTATGTCATTGCCCGAATATGTGGTATACTTTCGTGTTCTATAACTTTGGTTGCACAATAGCTTAAAAAAAAAAAAAGATCATGTAGCAAAAAAACATACAATCAGGAATTAGGAGTTTTGAGTTTCTTCTGCCTGAAACAGAGCTGTCTGACACTTCAATTCCTATGTCACCCTGAATCCCCAAGACAGACTCTCTTGTGTATTCTCATGTAGTACTCTCATGTATTCAATGTACAAAATGCATTGTGATCATTTGTTTTTGTATTTTCCCAGAAGACCATGGGGTTTACAAAGTGGGAAAAAGATCTGTTTTACCTTTAAAACTTTAATGCCTAGTGTAGTGCTTAGAATTCAGTAAGTGCTTGTTGAATTAACGTACAAACATACATCTAGATCTCTAGCTCTCATGAAAGTCACGAGTAAGCAATTGGTCTTCATACCCAGGAAGGACAAAAATTTTGCTCAGAAAATCCAAAGGCTACAGGTTGTTATCTTCATAACAGGAAAAGTTAAGGGGAAATGAGGTTTCTTCTCAAATTAAGATATAGAGAAAATAGAAGAAAAGTATATTATGTGTGTACTCTTTTGAAAAGTAGTAGAAGCTCTATTTTAAAGGAAAGAGGAGTAATAATCCTTACAAGAGAAGAAGGATTAAGGGACAGCCAGAAACAATAACACTTCTCATCTACTGCATGTAGTCAACTTTTTTCTTAATGCCTAAAAGTTCTATTGCCTACCAACAACCTTCATATTTTCTGGATTCCAAAGGTCATTCCTGTCTCATGCCCCAAGTCAAAATAATTTGGTCTTCGAAAAAATAACTAATAAAATCTTAAGTATGTATTCATCTCATGAAAGACACACACACATAGTTGGCTAAGCTACACTGAGTTCTCATTCAATATATAGTTAAACATAATGCATGCTATTATTCTGCATATTTTTAGAAAACAAAACAAGGGAAAAAATACTTCCTGGTAGGTAAATGACTTTTTAAAGTAATCTGGTTTCAAAGAAACCCTCCTTATAAAATGGTACAAATGGACAAAATACTCAATCTCATTAATAAAATATTATCCCACAACCAAATGAGCAACTAAAAAATTTAAAACACACTTAATATAACAAGATAGATATTCCTTTACATTGCTGGCAGACTGTCAGAAACTATGGAGACTTCGACTCCTCAGTCCTAGTCTCTCAGCCAACAGACTGGCAGGAAAAAATCAGAGCTGTACTCACAGATTCCTGAGCAAGACTGTAAGTGGCTGCTGTTATTTGAATTGTTAATAATGGTTATTTCTTAATGGTAAGATTGTAGATTATTTTTAGCTTTTTCAGTGTTTTCAAGATTTTCTAGGATGAGCATGGAATACTTTTCTAATTTTAAAAAGTGATTTTTATTTACCTGGTTTCAAGCTTGAATTCTGAAAGTTTAGCTCTGAGTTCTTCCTTACTCATTCTATTAATGCAGCCATTCGTAATAGCAATCTCTTTGTAAACTGGGTCACTGAAGTCACTTGAATTGGAGGTAATGAACTTAGATCCTTTTGTTTCTTGACCATCAAGTCTACATCGTTGCTTCTTCTACCAAAAAAAAAAGAAAAAGAAAAAGACATAGTTTAAAATCAGTACAAATATCTTAGAGAGTCAAACTCCTGAGGGGGGCATCTCTTTGTGCTCCATGTTCAATGAAAAATGCCTGTTGTAACTCCTGGAGGGAAGAGGCAGGATAGGAAGAGATGTGTTTCCAAACACAGACCCTGTTCTCCTCTGAGTCAAGAAGTTCCTTGTAACAATGAAGCTACGTAAAAAGAGCACTAATGTTGAGAGTCACAGCCACCTCATCCAGAGCCGCAGCTGACCATTTACCAGCAGCATGACCATAGGTAGTTACTTATTAACCTCTGATCTTCTATTTCCTTATCTATAAAACAAAGCATAATAATTGTCTCAAATGGTATTTGGTAATGCTAAACAGTATTTAGGCAAGATTATTATAAGGATTAAATGACATGTATATCAGGCTCCTAACACCATACCCACTGTGGATATTAATAATAATAAATGATAATTTTACTTATTACCACCACCGACAATAGAACAGACCTTTTGACTAACAATATTCTACAATATACAAACTAATTTTAAATTAATCTTTATAACATTGTACATGTATAAATAAGCAACTTCCTGAGAAGTTTTTCACCTGAATTCCTTTCACAAAGATAACAGGATTGCCAAATGTAAAAATAAAATGAATTAGAAATCTAGTTCAAAATTTCCTAGTACTCAAGGCAAAGAAGAAAATGTAGTCAGTTTCAAACACACACTTTCCAAAGGTCACGTACAACAGTTATTCAGGATAACTTTATTACTATGTTATAAACCTTTTCTCTTTTCTGATATAGAAATCTGTGTACTAAAGAAAAACGACTTAATTTTAATCATTCTACAGGTAGTCCCGATATACTAAGATGATGCTTCCGAGATTCATTTATAAGTTAACTATTTTCCACATGCAGTGTTACAATATCAGGGATGTTCCCGAGTTTTCAAAAATGCTTTGGCACTTGTTATTAATCCACATTAAAACATCTTAACTTGGTCACAACTGGCCACACTGTCCCACGTGAACTTCACTTACAGATTACAGGGGATAGCCAGGAAAAGGCCATCATCCTTGACTTAGAACTAATTGTGAAGGTTCAGGAACTATTTCTTACTCTAAGTGCTCACTCTAATTCAACGCACATTTACAGGAAATGTAATGCTAGGTACTCTGTACTTGAGTACTCAAGAATTACTCCCAGCTCCTCTGAAGAGACTAATGTGTAAACTGTCCATAAATTGAAAAATAACTAGTCCCTCCTCCTCCCCCCTCTCCCTCTCTGGTGCATCAGCTTCCCCCCCTCCCTCACCATCCCCCACCCTTCTTCCCTCCAGGTTTGTGTCTTGGCGCCCTCCCTGTCTCTTCTAAGCTCCAAGGCCCCTTCCTTTGCATCTGCAATTTGTATCCTGAGCCCATGCTGTCCACTGGCTCACTTTTTCTATCTCTGCAATTTCTAAGTAAACTTTTGCTTGCATTTGAAATAAAAAATACTATATTAAAGTTCCTTGTTGACAAATGTTTAAAGGCTTCATTACACTGATCTTTGACTAAAGCTAAGAAAATAATTTTTTTCAATAATATATTAAATTTATAACTGGTTACTTTATCATTCGAATTTAATCAGGATAATTTTCTTGTCTATAAATTACATTTAATTTTAAACTTCATCTTCAGTCAGGTTCAAATTTAGGTGCACAATGAGTAATAGTTTGTCTACCAAAACTGTTGTTTTGGTTAATTTACGTAAATTTTCTCTTTGGTTAAATCCTCTCTTTGATTCATGTACTTAATTCTTATCTAAAACAGAAGTTACAAAAGTTACTGGAAAGTTAACACTTAGGTTTCCTCTAGATATGCTATCAAGCATGACTTTTTTAAAAATCTGCTTCCTCTTCTAGGTCCAACTTGAGCCCTCTCCCTTCAGTGAATTTTAGGGCGCTGTCAAGATCCAGAACTCACTGATCAGCGCTGAGGTCTACGCTAATGGCTTCCAAAGAAGGATGCTCAAATCAATCCGCTAAGGAGCAAGAAAAAAAATCATTAAAATTCCTACACAGACTATTAACCTACAAAAAACACCACAGTAGTTTACTAAATAATGCAATAGATTGACAACTGCATCCTCCCCCATGTCTGCCCACCTATCACCTGTCACACACACTACTGGCCACACAATAAGGAAGCAGGACAGAGTACACAGGATGGAGGGGAATACTCACCCGCACAGCACTGTGATGTTTTGCAATTTTCATGTATCCAAGTGGCTGTATGATTTATATTATCCCAAATAACACCAACTTTACATTATGGGGAGTGACCACAAAAATCTTTTACACTAAACAGACGTTTACCATGATCTTGTAGCAAAATACTCAAGTGTTCCTAAACTTAAAGATAAGTTACATAGTTTCTTTTACAAAAAGGTAAGTATTCCCAAACTGATGTGTCCTTTACTGTGACCAGCAAGAAATTGATAGCCTGACCCTTTGAAGTTTTTTTTAAATGAACAAAATGTGTTGTTTTAATATGGAATGCTTTAACAAGTAAGTTGGTAACTGTTTAATCAAAAGAAAAATTTCCTGTGGCAAGAGCATATGAAAATAGATATCTTGGAAATGTGTTCATTTTATTACCAAAAAAATTTGCATTATCTAGTTCTTAAAAAAAAGAACTACATCTGATCTGCACGTGCGTGTACATAGACACACACAAACTTAAAAGCAGTCTTGAACTTAACATTCTTCCAAAGGAAGAGTTCTGATGGAATTTAAGCCTACTGGTTAAAAATATAAAAAGGCAACATGTATTAGCTTACAAATACAACTAATATTAGGGATAACAGAACTTCACTTACCTAAGTTTCAATAAAAAATACTTTGCTTCATTGGGAATTTTTAAAAAACTACCATCAAGTATTAAGAGTACTCAACAATAGATTTTTAACAAATACGGCAGTCGCTAAAACCAATCTGGAACACAGACCCAGGCTTTAAGTCACCATATCTCAGAGTTTTAAGACTCAAATATAATGAAGTGTATACTCAATTGCACTTCTCTTATTAAAAGAAACTTTAAAAATTATTCTTAAACTGGCTTACATGATGATATTGACAGTACCACAGACTGAGAGGGAAATATGGTGGAAGATTAATGGTTCTTTAGAGAGAAGAGGCAAGGACAGTCTCTTCTGAAAATATTATCTAAAGGAGAATAAATAATTCTATGCAAAAAAAACAACAACAACACAGGAAGAGCACGCAAGCCAAAGGGAGCACACAGAGACCCTTAAGGAAGGCCTGGCAGCCAGGCGCACTAGGAGCCAAAGGGGAGAACTGTGTGTGATGCTGTCAGCTGGGCTCGCAGGAGCTGGGTCTACCGGGGAGCACGCTGGACACTAAAGAGGGGAGCAATCCAGTAAGAATCGTGTTATTACAAAAGATTGTTCCAGCTGCTACTTGGAGAATTACTGTACAGGGAAGCAGCATTAGCTAGGAAGCCTCTTGCAAGTATTCAGTCTCTGAGGGGCTCAACATTAGTTTGTTATGAATAGAAAATGACCAATTTCAATTTGATTATTTACAATCCTCAACGCTGGTCAAAATAACTATATGCATTAAACAAGATGAATAAATACGCTCTTAAGTCCATTTTTTCCATTTTGTCACTGTAACTAGAACCTACCAAACTGTTGAAATCATTTAGAAAATTAAGTCATATGAGACAGTGCTAAGGAGGCAAAAATCAGGGACGAATCTCCAACTAAAAGACACAATCACCTTTTCTTAAGGCTGGAAGAGACGGGCTTAAGGGTCTTACGTGACATAGACATAGTGCGATTAAAAATAAACCCTACCAATTACCGTGACAGTAACTGGTCGTAGAATGACTACCGCAACACTGTGCACAGAATGTTTAATTCAGAATCCCCACTGAGAACTTACAAAACCACAGTTCACATAGTTATCCTCTTGACTATTGACTCTCGTCTAGAAGGTAACTAGGACCAAAGGGCTCTGTGACAACCACCCAGAGTAAAGGCTCCGGGAGCTGGGGACAGAAAAAATCGACCTCGGCTGGGGTCAAAGGGTGCCCAGGCTGCCATTGTGCAGGACACCTGGCACCCAGGGGCGCGCGGGAGTCCTGGGCTGCGGGCGCGGGCGGCGACGTGGGCGGTCTCCTCACCTCGGGATGCGGGTGCTGCGGCTCCTCCCCAGACACCGACCGCGGTGACTCCAGCCACGCGGGAGCCACGGCCTCGCCGCCAGGCTCCTTGCTCTGCTCATCCTCCATGCCCGGTGTCACGTAAGAAGAGAGCACCAGGAGCTCCACGATCGCTCACTCTCACTCCGCCAAGCTCGAAAACCTCGCCTTTCTCGGTCAAAATATTACCGGCTGGCGTTCCCGCGGCCTCAGCCACACAAACTGAAGTAGACACCTCCCACTTCCGGGAGCGTGTGGCGTCTACACGCTGTGCAGGCGCAGTGAGCCCGCGCACACGGAAGCCCGAGCCGGTGCGGAAGCGGGCGGGTAGGAGGACAGGCGGAAGCGGGGATGGAGACGCCGGCGGGTGAAGAATGGGATAACCGATCCCTACCCCGAGGCAGCGCGGGTTCGTATTGAAGTTACTCAGGAGTCTAGACGCCATCATTAGAATATAATCCCTTCATTACTCCCATTTACTCAAGTAAATGATCCCATCAACATTTTCTGATAAGGAAAATGAGAAGTCCCAAATTGAGAAGTAAATTTTTTTCTGTATTTTTCCCCTTAAAACAACAGACTTACCTTTGGGTTTATAAACTAAGGTTTATAGGCTCAGAAAGTATAAGGACGTCTAAGGTACATCTCCTGAGCTAATAATCTTTTTTTTTTTTTTGCCAGGATTTATTCATTTTTTTCTTCAGATAATAACATTGCATCCTGACACGCAACTGCAGAGAAATTAATGAGAATTATTCATCATTTCTCTTTTCCCTAGAATATATCTTTTTTCTTTCAGAGAAAAAATGACTTGGTGAATGTTATCAGGATCTAAATTACATGAACATTAATAAGCACTAGCTCTAAACTATTTCACTTGAACTTTTTGATTTGATACATGTGACTCAACTGTTAAGACTCACTAGCAAGGACTGTGAGTAAATTTATTTACAGTGCAAATGATGGGTTTCTACCTTAGCACTGCTGCCTGTGTCTATGGGGATGCTCATTCATTCATTCATTCATTCATTCAACAAATCTTTATTGAGCACCTTCTATGTGCCAGGAATGAGCGTTGAACAAAATGACAAACTTTGCCATAGTGGGTTTTACATTCAAGAAGTGGAACACAGACAATAAATAAAGTAAGTAAAGTGTGGAGAAATATTAAGCAGGTAAGGGGAGTGGGGACATCCACTTGGAAACAGGGGATTGCACTTTTAAACAGAGTGATTATGGGAGGTCTCCCTAATGATTTGCTGTTGGAGCAGAGAGCTGGAGGAGGTGAAGGAGCCAACCATGAGGCTATCTGGGAAGAGAGAATTTGAGGCCCCGCAGGCAACAAGTGAAAAAGGACCTGAGCTGAGGATGTGCCTGAAATGTCCAAGAAATACCACAGTGTCCTGAACAGATGCTCTTTGACTTAAGATGGGGTCAGGTCCTGATAAACTTAAGTTGAAAATATTGAAAGTTGAAATGCATTTAACATACTGTTGTAGTATATCAGTTCTTTACCCTAGTGATCACGTGTGGCTGAAAAAGAACAACAGCTCATTGGCATTGCCCAGCATCATGAGTATCCTACTGCATATTGCTAGCCTGGGAAAAAATCAAATTCAAAATTTGAAAAAACAAAATTTGAAGTATGGTTTCTACTGAATGCAAATCACCTTCATACTATTGTAAAGTTGAAAAATCGTAAGCGGAAGCATCCTAAGTCATACTGTCTATATTTCCTTTTGACTGTGTGATAACAGCATTCAGGGGTCCCAGATGTTTTTATGTGTTGACTGTGCTGTTACTTTCCATATACCACCAAGGGAGAAATCTCAATGATGCTAGCAGTGCCTTCTGCCTAAGAAAATACGCGCCCTAGTTACACAGCTGAAGGGGAAAGCCTCCCTAAAGGTTTCAGGCGTGGCCCAAACCTAAAAAAGAGGGGTTCAGAATTGGTTAGTCTCTTTAACTGCAGTCGAATTTCGTATTGTCCACTCTCTCCTATATTTTCAATCTTTTCCTTGCAAATGGACCTTTTCCTTCTGTATTTAAACAGGCTTAACTCAAAAATTTCCAACTTGAAAAGACCAACCAAACAAAGCACTCCCTTCAACCTCAGAAACCCTGAAGCCACTGCAGTCTCTGTCCCTTTTCTTTCTGAGATAAACCTTTGTGAGAAGTATCTCTTTTTCTCACAACATCCATGCACCACTGTACAACCTACCCTGATTTGGATTCCGCCCCCGCAATCCAGGGCCTTTACTGCTCCATTGAAGGCACCAATGATCTCCATGTGGTTAAACCAAGTATGTGGGGGCGACTTTCCTCGCAAGTCCCCCTGTGTGCCATGGATGAGAGTAAACATGACTGAGACATGATGTGATGTGCTTGGGGAGGAGAGGTGGCCAGTTTCTCAGGGGAAAAAGGCCTTAAGTCCCTTCCTCCAAGGGCTTTTATTGACAGGAATACAGGGGGGCAATGATCAAAGAAATCTGAGGCCTTAGTCTGAGTTAGAGTCTGTCAGGAAGAGAGTTTTAGGGTTTCCTGCTCTAACCCTTAACATATGAATGAAAGCACTCTTAGCAGAGCAGATTTCACAGGTTTATCAGGAAGTCTTTGTGATGCCAGATTTTTCCCCAGGACATGCTCTAGCAAGGCAAGGACCTGCACCCCTCCCCAACAGGTATTCAGGCTTACAGGGATTAGAGCCAGGAAGCACTTCTCCCAGAGGGCATGGAGAATTGGGCTATGTCAAAGCTGGGGGATGAGAGTCCATTGCACTTTGTTGCAGCCCCCCCAGTCCTTCCATGATGGCCTCCCAAGTGGTTGTGTCTGGCCTAGGTTGCCCCTCCTCTGAGGGGTCTTACCCCCCCAAGGACTTCCAACCATGCTTTGGGGGTAGGGAGGAAACTGAGGCGGCATTTGCTACCAGAGACAAGCTTTGTCTCCTGCAGCTCGCATCCCAGAGGTCACTGGCTCCTCCTTAGCCACAGGGGGTAGAGTTACAATTCCTAGAACCAGCAGAGCAGTCCACAACACCAGTAGGCTCTTGTCAGAGCTCATTCTAGGTGACCTTTCAACAGGATCCAACATTGTTGGCCATTCTTTATTTACCCAAACACTGTCTTACTTTGGTCTCCATGACAACACACTTGCCTGGCTACCTTTTTTCTCTCTGGCCATTCCTTCTTAATCTCCCTGCTCAGTTCCCCTTCTTATATTCAATTGTATAATGTAGGAATTCTTTCAGAGCTGGATATTAGATGTTCTTCTCTCCTATTGTATTCTTTTCTCACTGTAGACTTTCGCCCTAGGTGTTCTTACCCATTCTTGGTACGTGCACTGACCAGGAATCGAACCCACAACCTTTTGGTGTATGGGACAATGCTCCAACCAGCTAAACCACACCAGCCAGGGCTCCACCCAAGATCTTAATTCTGAGCACCAGATCTGTATATCTCATTGCCTCCTTACCAACACCTAAAGTGAACTCACCTTCCTACCAAAATCCAATTCTCTGTGATTTCTTTTCTCAGCAAAGGATTCTACAATCTGCACAGCTGATTGGCCAGAAATAAGGAATTCAAAGTGGACTGTCACCTTCCTTAATCCAGATAACTGCAGTGCTCAGAATAATCTGGTTTGTGCTTATCTCCCCAGGTTTAGCAGGAAATACCTTCTATCTCCTTCCACATCAACTTCTGTCAGTACCTCAACCTCCCAGCTGTTCTCCTGTCAGGGCTTCCCCGGGTTCATTTCTGTGATTCTTTAGATTACAGATTGAACTTTACTTCTACAGAATGTTTCCCCCATATCTCCAGATTTTGTTAGATTCTGCCCTTTATGAGATCTGCTTTTTTCCTCGGCATGGTTTTTTGTTTTTTGTTTTTTTTTTTCAGAATAAAGATTGAACTATGTAAGAAAAAGACTTTAAATGTCAGTGGTTTCAATGACATAGAAGTTTATTTCTCTTGGAAGGTGAAGCTTGGCTCTCTAATGCAGACGTCAAGGGCCCAGGGTCCTTCTGTCTCGTTGCTGCACCATTCCTGGTATGTTGTTCTCATCCCCATGTTCCAGACAGTGAAGCATTCCATGTGCCGGCCAGCCACTGCAGAGAGGAAGTTGAAAGGGAGAATGTGCATTTCCTTTTACGGTCACACCACGAAGGCATGCACGTTATTTATGCTTCTATCTCACATAACCACACACTACTAGTTGCAAAAGAGCTTGGGGAACTGTTGTCATGGTTCTGTGAAGAGTTAACTATAAACATTGAAAGTCTATTGTTATTGAAAAAGGGAAGGCCAAATATTCAGACAACTAAGTCTCTGCCATGATCCTGGTGAACACACACATTCATGCACACTCTCGTTCCTGCACACAGTGTGCATTCATCCCTTCCCTCCTGGAGACAAACACCAGATGCTAGTCAGCTAGTGCATCCAGCTCAAGACCTACAATCTCTGGTTGATGTCCAGTTGTTTCCATCAGGCCCAAATTGGGGCTCTTCGTGGTCCAGTCACTTATAAACCAAAAGACAAGTCATTGCCTCGGACCATACCCTGTATAAAATAGTAGGAGCCGCAGCAGAAGGCTAGAACAAGAATGCTGATTTGGAAAAAAAAAAAAATAAGAAAACTGGAAAACATAAGACAGTCTCTGGACCATGGAGATGACCAGTCCCTGCTGAGCAGGGACAAGCACTGTTTCTGCCCTCGGGGGTGCAGAGGCAAGGAGGGCATCTCTCCCATCTCTATCTCCTGTGGCTCCCGTCTGGCAATATACATTTCTCTTATATTTGCTTAGCAAGAATTCCATTGCTACATAAAATATCCGAGAGTTTCTGTAATTTCATTCAGTTTAGATACAAATAAATATGCATATGTATATATCATTTGTGAGTTAAATAATTCCTTATTCCACGAGGCTCCCTTCTTGTCTGATACTGTGCAATCACTTAGCAACATTTGTGTGCTTTGGTATACAAATCATTCCCTTGCTCGTCTTGAATACCGAACGAACGGTCCTCTGCTCCCTCCACAGCCTGGGATGTGTGGCTTTGCTGACAAGCGCAGGCCTGCATGACAGCCCAGTGATGGGGGGGGGGGTGCAAAGTTGGAAACTTTGTTAAATAAATCATCCAAGAAAGTTTATTTTCAACATTTTCTATGTGCTTTTTAAACAAGCATGCTTACACGTGCGTATTAAATATTTCAGACTTACTTTGAAATTAAGAAGAAACA